TTCACTTAAATCTGTCATTTTGTCAAGGTTTGGTTTCTTCGTTTGTCCCTTCGCTATTATTATTTTTTTGTGTGTGTGTTTTAAATCTAAAACGTCTCATTTTTTGCCTGCAGTTGTAAGGAAACTCACAAACAGTATACTGGAGAATTTTTTTATTAATAGCTTTGCACTAACTTTCCACTATCAACTACGATGTATCAACAGCTCTAAATAAAAGTTTACTTGGTAATATGACGTGATAACCTTATGTTTACATATTTAACAACACATTTTTTTTTATGTAGTGAATGTAAGTAATGTTCCAGAACAGATCGAATTTTTTTGCCATTTCATGAAACCTTTTTGACACTTATACTTAATTTCTGGATCATTACAAGAAAATGTTTTTTTTTTCCAAATGCTACGGGCTCTCTGTAACAGCTCGTGTTCTTTGTTCAATTGGTTAATGTCTAAAAGATTTCAGAATTAAACGGAAAGATCATAAGTGAAACAAACACTTTTTAAGCTGATGGCGATATCTTTCTGTTTATCACAAGTACTTCTGCGGAATACATAGCATATTTTCTTTATCCGGAACTGACTATCCTAGCGCAAAATATAAATTATTATTACGGAAACAAATGGAATATGATTCCGTTCTTCAAATAATTAAGAAGTAACTTTTACATCGAAAAGGACCATTTTACAAAGCCAGCAATACCCTATAACTACTGTCGTTTAATAAAATACTTGTAAATACAGTGGAATCCAGACTTCTCGAACCCTCGGTTTCTCGAACCTCCCGATATCTCGAACCAAACCTTGTTTCCCTTGGATTTGCTTCACTTGTAATTCCAGCCCCGATTTCTCGAACCAATTTGCGTTTCCCTTGGAGGTTCGAGAAATCGAGATTCCACTGTACTTAATTTCTACTTAGGTTTCGTCCATTAATTACAATTTCGCACGTAAATTTACAAAGTTACCGTCGGTGGCAACTTAGTTATCTGGTTGTTATATCAATTTGCAAATGATGTCCCCCGCCATGGGACCCGGGAGGCATCTCAATTTAGACAAATCATGCCTGTCAAATATTCATCATCTGATAACACATGCTCAATTTTAAGATCGCTACGCCTGAAAGTCTATACTGGTTCCAGACAGTTACAGTGTGACAGGCGTCTTTACTGTTTGACTTCAAATCTTCACTGATCTCATTGAACATCGGTAAAAGAAGGTCATTGAAGATTTGTATCAAAAGCTTGATATGAATGAACAGGCAATAGTTAATCCGAAGCTTCCGGAAGATATAGTAATCTAGAATTGTTTCTAATAGCTTTAGGCTGCACGGAGTGATAATTGGTCTGTGCGACAGTGTGATCTTTATTCAAAACCCTGGTGAAAAAGTATAAAGGGTGAGAGTCGATTTCTGAAAAAAAGTTACTACGTAATCTTAAGTTTTAGATCCCCATTTGACCTTTTTTAGGATTAGAGCGCTATTCTAGTGAGTATCGTGGAAAAAAAAATTCTCAATGGCCAACCAGATGTAAGAAACTATACGTTTAACACTTGATGAAAAATTAAAAGCAGCCGAGCTGCCTAAAGCGCGGGAAAACGCTGTTGACCAGGTCGTGATTGGTTTTAGTTTTGCATCTGATTGGTTGAGAGAGTGACAGGAGTTTTCTGGACCAATCAGAGAATGAAGTAAAGCAAAACTGATACAATCCTGGAATACTTTCGACATTCAACTGAAAATTTCTCTAAACATTATAGGGGCCTACGGTCCGATGCAAAAAAGAAAAGCCAAAAACTAAAAAAATGCAAAAAAGAAAAATAAAAGAAGAAGAAAAGAAGAAAACCGAGTTTCACTCGTTCACCTTTTGAGTTTTTATATCAGACCGATTTTGGTTTCAATCCATATTGAAAAGAAACAACTGAAATTCGGTTTATGACAAAAAAAAAAAAAAAGGAAAAAAAAAAAAAAAAAAAAGAAAAAATAGCGCTCAATTTATGATCAGACAACACAAATAAGAACCTTTTTGGCCGAGTAGGACCGATAATGACAGCTATATCCCCTGGGAGATATTAAGTAATTGAACGGTCTTTATTTCATCATCATTATCAAGTCGTAGTGAAATAGAAAAGCCAAATTGGCTGGATGTTGATCAAACATGAAAACTCTAGTCACGAAAGACTTTGAAAGGTAACTTTTCAATTTAGAGATGCATGGCTTGATATAAAGTACCGATAAAGTTTTTGGCTTCTTGCATCACTTTCCCTCCGCCCTCCCCTCCCATACCGCGAAGCCCAGTCAAGAAGTGACCGAAAGAAATGATGGACAAAAGTAAACCAAATGAAAAATAATATGGGTGACTTTTGTGTTTCATAGAAGGTTAAACAGCCACCCAGTTAGGCGCTGGACTGTTATGCAGGAGGTCGAGGGTTCGAGCCCCGGCCGGACCAACACCCAAGGTCTTAAAATAATTGAGAAGAATTTGCTACCTTTCTATAACATCAAAAAATGGTTAAATATTCTAGACTTCTCGGATAGGGACAAAAAAATGGAGGTCTCGTGTCTTGCAGGGTTGGGGGTAGGAGACGTTAATTTCCCACGCACGAGATTACTGTGTGATGGATGTCCTCCCCTGGGGTGGGATAGGTGGGTTTACTGGGCCCGCAGTAATTGGCGCAAGCTGTTGCGGTGTCCCTGCCGGTTGGCGAAGCAAATAAACTAAACTAAACTAAACTAAACTAAACAATTAAACAGTTACACATTGTTTGGCATTTTAACCGAGTGCTATCAGTCAATTACAATGCCAATCAATGAAAGATGAATTCTAAATGCAATTATCACCACACTAGATAAAGTTTTTTTTTAACCCAAGAACGTACTAGTCACTTGATCATAACCAGCGTTGTTGTAACAACGTTAATTTTTCTGGTTGTTTCCATCGTTGTAAAAGCCTCCGCCATCACCACAGCTATCATAGGCAGCATCTCCACTGCTTCCCCCAGATTAACCTCTTCCTCCTCCTCCTCCTCCTCCCCCTCCCCCTCCAAAAGCTCCACCACCTCCTCCAAACACAACATCGACATCGTCATGCCTGGCTCTTCCACCCACCCCTCCCTGAATAAATCCCTTACCACCTTCTCCACCATATCCTTTGGTTACATTAAAATTCTTTCCACTTCTTCCACTGGAGTAAAACCCGCCACCATCACCACCACCTGAAATACAATGAATATATTTTAAGATTTAAACAGAGGCGAAACTATATTTAAATGGGATGCTAACCCACTCGATTTTTGGATTTTTTTCAATAGTATTGTAAAACGTTTTAGTAAACCCATATCAGTTCGGGCAAACCTTAAGTAACGCATTTTAATTAAACTGCTATCCATAAGGTTTGATATTTGTATATAGCATCTGTAATACCTAATTGTATAAACTGTTTTGTCTTACTTTCCCTGTCAAAGAAACTATGAGTTGATTTAACGCGTTACCTGATGCGAAATTGCAGCGTTATGCCTGATGATAATTTGACCCGTACGGCCCCACGCGCGTAATCCCATTAAAAACCGTCAAAGTGAGAGCTGACGTGTGTAGGGTTGGACGAGTTAATGAACGGTGAGTTTCTTGTTCTGACACGAAAAAACAAAGAAAACGTTTTTCCTGTAGGATCTTTATTGTGATTGTTCAGCGTGCGCTCTTGCGACGCGTCCTATTTAAGTTGAAACCAAGTTTTCGAAGTGGTCATATAATAAGATGCTTGTTAATCTAGTTTGGTCGGGCTGGACGGGAAAATACTTGGCTCTCGGTCACGAGGCACGGAACGTGCTACTTTCGGTCCGTACGTCACGACCTCGAGCCAAATAATTTCTGTTCTCCCGCCAACACCGGTGCCGCTACCTTGACTTGTCTTTACAGTAAATATGACCTATAGGAGGATCTCAATGGGGTTAACCGTCAACCGTCAAATGGCCAAAATATTAACCGTCAACTGTCAAAAACGCAATATTTTTGCCGTCAACCGTCAAATAAGCAAGCCAATATTAGCCGTCAAATGTCTCACATATCCTTAAATAGGAATCGTACGATTGCCTCAATTGGGGTCAAGTTCTATTTTAAATGAATAAATTTTTTGATGATCACAAAAATACATTTATGTAAATCCTTTAACTTCTCTTTGCAAGTAAAACTGGTTAGCGACAAAGCTGATTTCTGGTTTGGAAACACTTCCGTTGTCGTAAAGCAGTGGTCATTTATCAATAAAATGTCTCATGAATTAACAGTTCTTTACAAACGCGTCATCATGAAAATCGCGCGTTTAGTTCGTTTTATAAACGCCATTCCAAAAGTTAGCCATCAACCGTCAAATACTTATATATTGGATACCAGTGGTCATCACTCGGAGAGACTGCCAGACACCACGGCTAAGCCTGTACAACGAGATCACTGCTTGATTTTGAACACCAGACGTCGACCTCGTCTACAACAAGTCAGCAAAGCCCGAAAAGCGAGTTTGCTGTTGCAGAATTTTTATCTACGAACATTTGTAGCCCAACTAAAACAAAGAACCGGTTTAGAGCGGCTGTACACTTGAAGATCATTTAAATAAGAACGATATTGATGTTTGCATCGCCTCCTAAACACACCTTGAGCTAGATAAACCTGAATCAATTGTCAACATACCTATCTACAACGTATTCAGACGAGACAGGAACTGTTCAAGAGTGGTTTTGAGGGAAAAAGGGGGAACTGCTGTTTATGTGAGAAGCCGTGAACCTAGATGTTGTTCATGTTTATAGATTAAAACTGCATAGTTTAATTTTTAGATAAGATCTTTTATAAACACGCACATATGTATATTTCAGGGCACCGCACGTCTTTATTTTATCTCGGGATATTCATATTCATATTCACATTCATCTCGGGATATTCATATTATCTGAGATTTATTAAAGATCGATGTGCCTCCAACGCATTTGTCGGGCGAGCTATGGTGCACGCAGGAAGTTTGGAGAGCAAAAGAGAAGAGTTGCTCGAATCGCAGCTAGGAGCAACTGTACCGTTCGGAGTTATCAAATGGCAACTAAAAATAATATCGACCGTTCAAAAAACAAAGGGGAGATTTCCTAAAGTTACGAGTCCCGTGTAGTAGATTTACCTCCTTGAATTGTTGGTTACAAGAATTGACTATCAGAAGTTGCGTCGCTTTGTGTTAAAATTCTTAAAAATTGTACGATTTGAAAGGAAAATCGTCTATTCAACAACACTTTTGGAACAGACATGCATCAGGTCTTCAAAATAACATTTACCTAGACGTCGTGAAGCCTCAGTTGAAGTAAAAAAAAAAACTCAGTTTTGTTTTCAGCCATATTCACGCATCGCATCTGGGAGCTGAATAAATTATCCTCGACTTCAAAACTAATTCCGTTGCTTTGAAGAGCTACATGCTCATTGTTTTTTCGAAACGATTATCATTTTGGCACATTTTCTTTTCAAATAGAGCTCAAAAAGGTCTTTCTTATTTGGAATAGAACGGAAAAACAATCTTGAAAGTTTTGAAACCTCACGGGTAAAATCGATAGGAACTTTTCGCCGACAATGACGTCAGTCTGAAACATCTCTATTAACCATCCATTTCTTTTTCATAAATTATAAGCCAATTAGAGCCCACGTTATCATATGGTTATGAAATAACACTAATTGAACAGCTAAGACGTAAGGTAACATCACCACATACTCTTACCTGAAGCACCATTATCAGCAGTATGTGCACCATGTCCATTGTACCCCCCCCCCCCTCCTGACCATGACTTATATCCAGGATTCCCTGTTGTGTTTGTGCTGGCGTCACATCCTTCATGTCTTGACTCAGCTCTATTTACCCTTCCTCCGACTCCAGCTATTATCAAAGGTGAGTTGGCTCCTCTCACAACAAACGTTCCTCCACCACCTCCAGAAGAGTAAGAGTGCGTGTTTATTCCTCCTTCTTCACCAACGAGTATCGGAATGACTTCACCCTTGTTTAAGCGGAACGTTCCAGTCATTCTTGCTCCTCTTCTTCGGTACTGAGCACTGTTAGGGTAATTATCGTACCTTCCTGCAGCTGCTATTGCTTTTATTCTGTAGTCACCAGTGTACGGCACAGTCCACTGTTAAACACCGCTGGACAGCGTAACTTGTCCGTCATGATCCTGTCCTGTGTAGTGACTGCCCAGCGTTGTTGGACCAATTCTTCCACTGGTGTTGAGGTTTGTAAAAACGGCCTTAAAAGCAGAAAGGGAAGAGTTAAGTTATCTACATCGTTATAACCATAATTGTTATAGTTTTTTTCCTTTCATTAGAGGTAACTTTGCATCTACAAAAAGGACATGAAGAAGTTAAAATATTGTAGATTGATCCTTAAAACTGCTCACCATTAATGCAATTATTAAGTTATTTAATATTCAGTTTCTTTTTTACTCGATCATTTATTCAATTCATTGTCTCTCAATGGACGCGTACCCACTCGTCACGAAATATCTTTCCCCAAAAGAATATCAAGCATCACATTTGATTGTGGTTGAAATGTTGTGTGGGTCCCTAAAGTTCGTTGTGAAAACAGATCGCTTTTGAAATAGGCCGTCAACTAAAACTGTCCGTTTTTTTTTCTCATTTCCAAAGGTTACAGAAGTCTTTATACTTCTTTAAACTTTCTCTTCTTAAGTTTGAATTATAGACGAATAACTGATGATGTCCAGCCATTCGGCATGACAAAAGTCAAAAATTGAGCAAACCGTAAAATTTTGATTTAGCGTCCGGGCCGCTAGTGTAGTTTCGGCACATCTAGGGAGGGAACTTTTTGTGAACCAGGGCATTTAATTCTTGGTTTTCAGGTGACGTCATCAAATTTAGAAATAAGGAATTATCAATATATATGAGATTTAAGTTTACTAAGTTAATACAGCAGTTGAATTCTTATCTTTTTACAAATTTTCAGTTTGATCAGGTTTTTCTTCTTGTGTCAAAGCAAGGTTCAATTTCCAAGCTATTGCTTGACACGATATTAACATACTGGCACGTAGGTTGAAGAAAAGATAGACAGATAGACAGATAGATAGAGAGATAGATAGATAGATAGTCTGATGTTTTCGTAAGCACGAAATTCTGAGTAACACAAACCATGCGTCGTCTTCTTTGATCGCTACCTACTGTATTGAGCTTTGCACATGTGCATTGAGTACTATTCCACGGTATCGGCTACTTTCTCACATGAATAGATAGATAGATAGATAGATATGTTTAATCAACTCTTTTACAGGCAGAGATCGAGACTAATATTCAACCATACAGACTGACCTAGCTCGGTTAATAAGATGTTTATTATATGGCTGTGTCTTATATGCCAATTTATTTATATTCTTTGCACCTTTTTTTTTTCTATACCGGTCTAGATGCCGGTCTAAATGGGAAAGTCTAGACCGCTTTCAATATTTCTTCGAATGCTGGGAAAGAAAGCCAACTGTGTTTGTTGGACAACAAACTCACGAGAGTCGTTTCTATTTTCTTTGTTTTTAATATCTTCTGCCGCTTTTTGCCTTTCCGTCGCGAAATTGTCCAGGAGTTACGAATGTAGTTCTTATTCTATTTTTTCATGTGCGGGATCAATGCGGACAATCCTGAGCTGGCAAGAGGGCCCATCTTGCCTGCTTGGGTAGCCAATCAGAACACAGGATTTGCTTCCTCTTGCCCACGGACACTGCGTGCGATGTAATAAATAACCCTTAATAAATCATATTTCAACAGCATGCACGAAAATCTCATTACATTCAAAAAGTTATCATAAATATGCCCTCAAGGGTTACCTCCTATGGGGAAAAGCATCATTGGTACAGAAAGGGGCGAATGTATCTGTCCTAACTCTGGGTCTCTCTACAAGGAGGCAATCCCCTGACCGAAGATTGTAACCATGAGGATCTACTTCCACCATGTAGAGAGACCCTGAAGGTTCAGTATTAGGAAGGTCCTTAAAAACCCGATGCAGGCAAGATCCCTACGCTTACTTAGGGTTGGTACACAAAGCAAATGATTCCTCATACCTATTATCTGGAAAGATAATCTTCAATACCCACCTCTGAACGACTTCAATAATATCCGATAGATAGTCAGGCAGAGCTGCCCACCCAGGTGATGCATATTCAAGAAGAGATCTGATTAATGAACAATATATCTACACTAGGTCAGTATGATGGGGCTCTGACTTCTTAAGTAATCTTGAGGCATGCACCCTCTTATTAGCCCTCCAAACAATATACTCAACATGCTGATTCCACTGTAGGTCATTAGATATATATGTCCCTTGGAGCTTGAGACTCTTTCCGTATGTCATTACCTAGTATCTTAAGGGTATCTAGAACCATAGGTTGGTATTCAGGAAAGTTTACAATCATTCCTTTGCACTTCTTGGGATTTTAGCGCAAACCCTGGCTAGTAGCATAACCACAATGTCCTGAACGACGAACAAGAAATACCTTGGGCTAAATCTGAATATTCACTCGATCACAGTTGTGTCATCCACATACTTATTGCGCAGATGCCAATTGTCAGCCAGCTTGTTAACCAAGGCAGCAAAAAGGATAGGGACTAGCTTTATCCCTTAGGGGATACCCGGCCATGAGGATAGACGTAGGCAGATAAGGCCCCTTCGATTCTAACCATCTGAGATCTGCTGGTAAGGAAAGCATAGATCCATTTGACTATTTAAGACATTGCTCACACCCAGATGTTTAAGCTCGAGTTGTAACTTACTATGATCAACAGGATAAAATCCTTTACTAAAGTCTGCAAATAAATATTCAAATACAATTTCCAGGACAATCAAGAAACATCAGTATTAAATGCACGAAATAGACTAATGCATGGATTGTTGATTTTCCACCAATAGAAAATTGTTTACAGTCAAGCCTATTCCTAACCTGCTTAAGTAATGAGTCTCTTGTTAAACCTTCCATGACTTTAGAAAGCTGGGCTATTGGGGCTATAGGTTTTAGGTCTTCCTCCATAGACTTAGGGGGACTGACCCTTGGCACTAACTAAGGAATCGATACCTTGACTTAGCTGTTGAGATTTCGCAACTGAACAGTCCTTGTGTGAGAATTTGTAGTTATTTAGATGTTTATGAGCCCTCAGAAGACGACTACAGGTTTTGTACAGCAGATCTCGATGACATGTTTTTGTTAGCTTCCGGCCGCCATATTGGTGTTCCTCAGAGGAAAACCAACGTGGCGTAGTTATACAAAGCCTTATAAATTTGAGCGAAACCTTTTATCGAATACTGCCCGAACAAAACATCGCACACACCTGAATCTTGGCGAGAGTGTTAGAATATTCATCTTGTTTTATCCCTTTCATTCTTTACTGTATTTGTTTTGAACATTGTCTTGATGATGGTGGGACAGTGAAACCTGGGGTTGGGTACAGGGCGCTTATTTCCATCTTGAGAAACAGTAAAATGCGCGAGACAAACCTCCTAATTTCAAAAGGATAAAAAGACTGTAAAATGACGGATTATTTTCCATGGACAAGTCCTGGCTAGAACGATCAGCTAAGCTGCAATTTTCACGCGATGAATGAACTGGAAATAACAGTCGAAAGGGAGACACATTAACCATTGATTTTGTTTTTAGGCTTTACTTGAGCAATTGAAGGAAGTTGAACCACGGTTGATCTCAATGTACATGTACTTCGCTGTGCTACTACTGATTCATAATAGTGGCACTTATTTGTGTAGGGGTGCTTATGGGAAGCGCTTATTAGAATAGGGACGCTCATTAAAAAAATTCTAATGTGACGGGGCGCTTTTTAGAGAAGGGGCGCTTATTTTAAGGAATGCACTAAATCGAATCCTTACGGTAGTTATGTAGCGTAGTTGTTTGAAAATTGACTGCGTGCTTATTTTTTTGTTGTTCTATTTTACTGATATTTTGGTTTATGTTATGAAAGGAACATCAGGGTTACGGTTTAAATGTCGACTTCCTCACAACATAAGGATTATTATGACGTAACTTATGCTTATCTTTTACAGCGTACAATGAGTTTAACTCGGTATGGGCATTTTACAAACTTGATCTTATTTTTCACCCTAGGTATAAAACATAAGCATTGTTGGCAAAAATAAATTGCATAGGTGCCACGCTTCCTGCAGTCCCCTCCACAGCCCTAATTTGGTCTCGTCACGCAACCCCCTCTCTCCTACGTTGTGTGACGAGACTAAACAACGATCTGCTCATAGGCTACGACGATCTTTACTGATGTTCCTCTGAGAGACAGTCTTAATTATTCAGTTACAGCAATTTGCCCCCGAAAAGTACTTTCAATGTAATTTTGCTAAGGAAAGCAAACCAAAAACTCTATTTCATCTCTAACAACCACTAAACAAAGATATATTTCGGTCTCCGTTGTTCAAACAAGTGAAAATAGATTGAATGAAGAGACAACTATCATGTTTCAAGGCGTAACAACGTAGGGTCCTTGTTTGGTTGTTGCCTATCTGTCCTTTTCCCTGAGCGTGTGAAATACATGACAAAACGCAGGTTGTTTAAAAGGAATTGACACGTGATAATGTGAAGTCTAAGGTAGCAAAAGGCGAAATTTATTTGTAAAAAAACCTCTGAGCACGTGAGAATTGCGTGGAAAATTAATCAACAGAAGCATGACGTTCCTTGCGATTGTTTTCTTTATTGAGGTAGGATTGTCATAAAATTTTCGTTGTTAATGGCATTTCATCTGGGAAAGTCTAGTCCAGAGTGGCGAGTAAAAAGGTAAACACCAAATTGTAGCGGGAAAGTACCGTTTAAACAAATAATTAATCAATGAAAAAATTTTACAAGCAAAGAAACGGATTTTTTGACATGGGTTGCGCTTTTTCCGACAACCTTTTTGTAAACAGCGTACATCTTTTCTTTCCTCGTGAAAGAGGTTATGCACGATGCAAGTGTGTATGTTACTCATCAAAGGAACAATACTTTTTTTGTTGTTTTTGGTTGACAGCAGCTATTAGCTTTCCTTT